GGGGCCTGGGCGGTGCTATAAGCACATGGAAGGGGCCTGGGCGGTGCTATAAGCAAATGGAAGGGCCTGGGCGGACGCCGAAGCACAGGCGTCCAGATCCCCATGGAATTCCACTTGCGCAACATGGCGCGGACCGCACCAGTAACGAGACGATGCGCCGAATGAGCCCGTCCACATCATAGAACACTGTACGACTGTACAGAGGCTAGGCCGATATCGCGAGCGATTTGGAAAGCATCGGCTCGTAATCCTTCAAGGATACGAGCCGCGTACTCGCTCATATCGATTTGCGTCTCATCTATCGATGGTATGGGGTCTTCTCTTGCAGCACTGCTGATAACCTCTGCTTCTTCTCGCGCTGATGCTTCTGCAATATCTCGGCTGCGCTGGTACCTGGGCAGTATCGCCCGGTCGACGGAGTTCCATCTCGCCGAGTTCTCGGCCTTTCCGGTGTTTCCGGAACAGCAGATCCTTGATCATCTCGCGTTTCATCTTCTCGCGGCGTTGCAAGACATGAGCTTGCGTCCTGAATTTCCAACGTGAAAGCCGGATGCTGTGCCGGAGTAGATGTAGGAGCCGGACTTGGTCTCAGAGGCGTACCATACGTCTCATCCGGGTTGGAAGGAAAACTACAAAAAGGCTTGCCCTTACCTAGCTACGGGCTTGAGGGTGACTTAATCGCACGATGGGGCGAGACAGACTGCCCCGGTCCCTGGTGCTTTGCAGCACGAGGCGGTGCTCCACTACCAGTTTGGAAGAGCTTCGATTGGCGGTAACTACGCAGCCTAGCTTTTGTGCTTCTCAACTGGGGGCCCAAGGCCTGCGAGCACAGAGGTAAGTTTAAAAGGAAAGGGAAAACTAGGGGCAGATACGACCTCGGTACCTATACTACACAGTGGGCCTTCTCTTGGGTGAGTTTCACAACAGTAAACTGTTTGGGGAACAATTTGGCAGCCGCCTTGCTCGACGCCGTGGAAGGTGTGAAGACAGGTTTTTGCTGCAAAAGTGGCTTTTACATCGTAATTTACAGTGTTTTTTATGTTTTTTGACCCTTTTTTGGGCACAATGCAAGAGGCAACATTCACCGTCGAAAACTTTGGACGCAAGAAAAAACAGCCAAAAAACAAACAACAAACAACAAACAACAAAGAACAAACAACAAAGAACAAAGAACAAAGAACAAAGAACAAAGAACAAAGAACAAAGAACAAACAACAAACAACAAAGAACAAAGAACAAAGAACAAAGAACAAAGAACAAAGAACAAAGAACAAAGAACAAAGAACAAAGAACAAAGAACAAAGAACAAAAAACAAAGAACAAAGAACAAAGAACAAAGAACAAAGAACAAAGAACAAACAACAAACAACAAGCAACAAACAACAAACAACAAACAACAAACAACAAACAACAAACAACAAACAACAAACAACAAACAACAAACAACAAACAACAAACAACAAACAACCACAACTTGTCCGTCCTCCGGGGGGCGGGGGGGGAGAACCTGGGCAAAGGGTCAGGCTCGCGCACTTGGCTCTGGCGGGGAAGGCAATAGGACGGGAGGAGGTACTTTGCTGCAAAAGTGGCTTTTACATCGTGGCTTGCAGTGTTTTTTTCCCCTTTTTTTTGGGCACAATGCAAGAGGCAACATTCACCGTCGAAAACTTTGGAAGCAAGCGAAAAAAACAGCCAAACAACAAATATGGGGCACGCGAGACTCCGAAAGCTGAAAGATTCCCTTCTTCTCGCATTGCTGGGTTTAGGGTTTAAATTGTAGGGGGGATGCAGCAATGCAGCATCTCTTGCAAAACCCCACCCCACCCCCCACCCACTGTGAAAAAAACGGCTTTCAAGCACCCCCTTCTAATCGTGGAGATGATAAAACGCCGACAGTGTCGTAACGCGCGTCGTTTTTGAGTGTGGAAACGCTGAAAACACTCTAAAAAAACGATGTTTCCGAGCATGCGCACGCAACCTAGGCGAAAACACAATTTCGCAGTTGACACGTGCCGAAAACACTGTCAGTACTGATGTTTTCGATGCTTCGCACGATGGATGCAGGGGTCCCAAAGTCGACAACCCTTCCACGGCGTCGAACAAGCCGCCTGGAAACAATTTCAATCAGTACATTCCACCAGGAAGGTTGACGCACCCCCCTTATGCTCCCTGTGTTACACGCAGCAAAAACGATTCATTTCAGCACCCCTACCCCCAAGGACCCCCGCCCCCCCGCCCCACACTACACTTAGCACAAAAACAAGGTTTCTACCGCAATGTTTGATTTTGGACGCGCCCCTCAACTAACGCTCCCCACACTACACGCCGCACCAACATCAATGTATTCCACTGCAATGTCTGATGCGCCTCCTCCCCCGAGGCCCGTGCACCACACAGCCACAAAAACAAATACGCCCACCATGAGTGACGCACCCCCTCCTCCGGCCCCACTTGAAACAGTTTAGGCCAAAAGATATACCTGGAAGACAGGCAACGCTACGGGATAGCCTGAATGACACTCCTGAGATACACTCGCGTATACGGGCTGAACATCGCTCAGCAAACAGTATAGAAACCTCGAAGTTATCTCAGCTCGGGTATGCTCGCAAAGCCTAACTCGTGTTCCAGAGTGTTGGAGCTAAATGGCACACGTGCTATATGACACGATGGACATGTGGCCATGCAACATCTTGACTGTGCACAGCCAGCCAGCATGGCAGAAAAAGCTCACACTGAGTCAACCTGGGTCCGGAATTCAACGGATCGAGAGCATAGGAAACTCCCAGCGCAAGTCCTCTCACCGTTGAATTCCTTCCCCGTCTCGCTAGAAACCAATTTCCGCCACACTGGCCAGCTGTGCGAAGAGCTTCCATGGATACAGGGATCCCGACCGGGCCACCGTCGAAAGGTTCTTCCACTTCTGAGGCCCAGAAGACCTGCAGACGGGTTCGCTGGCCAAATGCAGAACGTAGACGACAAGCCCACGCACGTGAACAAGCCGAGGGGCAGCGACAAAATCTGCAGATCCACCTTCGTCTCATCGACGGCGTCCTTGTCAGCGCAAACCCTAACCCTACACCCTACACCCCAAACCCCCACTACACCCTAGGCCCTATGCCTTACAGGGTTTAGGGTTTAGGGTTTAGGGTTTCGGGTTTAGGGTTTAGGGTTTAGGGTTTAGGGTTTAGGGTTTAGGGTTAGGGTTTAGGGTTTGGGGTTCACTCCTACAAGACTCATGGCACGGCCTCCAAGGGCGGGCTGGGCACCCACGACATCCAACCGATGAGCACAGAAGGCAAAGAAAACATGGCCTCCCAGTCAAAAGGGTTTAGGGTTTAGGGTTTAGGTTTTAGGGTTTAGGGTTTAGGGTTTAGGGTTTAGGGATGTTTAGGGTTTAGGGTTGAGGGTTTAGGGTTTAGGGTTTAGGGTTCAGGGTTTAGGGAAACCTTGCAACTTCGGGTTTGGGTCTGAGGGTGAGGGCAGCCCAAAATATACCATCCTTGCTCTTTAAGAACACCTGTACAGTCGCTTAGAAAGTAGTGTTCCTATTCAAGGTTCCTCCTTTTGTGGAAAGCCCCGTAAAATCAGACAGTCTATTGGGATTTCTGAAGAAAGGTGTTGCAGGTCATTCGAGTTTTTTGGGGTGTAACCTGGGGGAGGAGGGCTGAGAGTTTGGTGATTAGAGTGTCTGAACCCCCAGTTGCATCTTTCATCTGTCCTGGGGTGTGCTTGCTTGATGTCTGTCTGTGCACAGACTTGAAGGCTGTTCAGGAGCACTCACCAGCCGGTCACAAGTAACTGAGGAACTGTACTTATTGCATTGTGACCCTGATCGAGATAGATGTCTTTGTTGGCTGTCTTTCCGTTTCTGTGCCTCCTTCACCACCCTCAGCACTCTCCCCGGCATCACTTCCCTTTTTACCCACCGCCCTCGCCACCCACACCAGCCTGTTTTTAGTCCTGCGCTCCTGTTCAGTATTCCAACACGCTTTGATGAACTGCCTTCAGGTCATTATGGGCTTCGATTGCCGTCCTGACGCCTCCGTCCTCCCGACGCGTGGGCAAGCAGCCTGCAGCAGAAAAGCCTTGTCCACCTCTGGACGGAGGCCTGCAACCTGGGCTCGCGCTCCCTTTGGCGCGGCTTGGTTCCTCTGCTTCCACCTTACCCATTTGACAGCTCTGCCCATCCGCCCCTTCGCCGTTCTCTTTAAAGGCAGGGTGGGTCATGTGGGGAAAAGAATGCGTCGGAGATGTACACAAAGAAGCCCAAAGGAAAAACGATGGAAACAACCGGCCTGACGGGGGGGAGGGAGGCCACACTAATCCATTCCACATTAGGGCGCTGAGAGGCTCTTGTGGCCTAGGCTGCAATGAATTTGGGAGCCGTTCCCGAAATTCGGGGGTCTCTCAGTCCAATGGGACCTGACTCAACTCCAGGTTACCCCTCTTGAGTGTTGAGTGCATAGTTGACGGATGCTGCTTAAGGGAGTGGATTCCGATCCAGTACAAAACTACCTTGTCCTAATCCACACCCAAGCTAAACCCAAACAACCCGAAGCCTGCAGCGTCAGCAGCTCCACGGATCGTCGAGGCCAGGTTTCGGACTCTGATCGATGGGGAGCCCTTGGAGCAATAGGACGCAAGGATCAGCAGTCATTTCGCCGCGAGAACATGCTTGCAAACATGCTTGCAATATCTTGCAATCGCAAGTGCGACAAAAGCATTCGGTTCGGCGGCCTCGGCGGCTCGGCCGCAGGATGCAGGGCTTAGGGTTCAGGCTTTGGGGCCAGAAGTCTGCACAAGGTCCATGCAGGTGTCAGCAATCAGTCTCGGCAATCGCTTGCAAGGATACAGCTTGGCAAGTGCCAAAGGACTCTTCTGGGTTTTGGCGCGCCCAAACTCCAGAGGTACGGAGACTCAGACACGAAAACGAGCACTCGAGGCCCGTTCTAAGCCTCCGGAGGCTGGAAGAAACGGAGCCTAGGCCTCGGCGCTGCGCCTCACTGAGGACCAGAAAGCTTCGCATTCAGGTACTCCATGCTTCTCCACATCTCGTCTTCCGAGAGTTCCCGCCCCCAGACGATGATCTCCATGACGCCGAATCGCGATGCCTCCTCGACAAAGCCCTCGTTGATGTACACGTGGAAATCTGCGTCGGACTTCGCCGCTGCGTGCTGTCCGATGTTCACCCTTTCCTTGCCCCTCAAGAGGACCCCTGCGCTGTTGCCGCACATCACGAGCCAGTCGGTCAAGCCCGTCCGCTGATAATCCATACTCACCCACGCGCCATAGTAAGCAACCCCCTTGCCTCCAGCATAGTGGCCATGGTACCAGTTCGGACGATTGGTCTGGAGAATTCGGCCCCTTGCTCCATCTCCGACATAGCGGGTGACGGAGCAGATGGTGTAGTCCCGCTTCATGATCGGGCCAAAGTCGTATCCGGCAAGCGCGTCACCCGTGAGGTACGCAACCGGAAATGCCGCACCGAAGCCGGCCTCGACCTGCCTTGTGACGACGCCCTTCGTCACGCGGCCTTGCCAGCTGCCCACGGAACTTTTCCACGCTACGCTGGCGTCCCCGCTCTGGAACCAGGCCACCATGGAAGCCTTGTCAGCCGGCTGGGGTGGAGGGGGCCCGAGCTTTGAGTTCAGGTACTCCATGTTGGCCCACATCTCATCTTCCGAGAGTTCCCGGTTCCATGTGATGACCTCCATGACACCAAACTCCGATGAATCGTGCTCGACAAAGCCCTCGTTGATGAACACGTGGAAGTCTCCATCTATCTTCGCTGCTGGGGCTGTTCCCACATTCTTCCTCTCCCGGTTTCGGAAGATCAATCCGGCACTGTTGCCGCACATCACCAGCCAGTCGGTCAAGGGGCCGGACCCGTCGTGCTTTGTCACCCACGTGTTGTAGTATCCAAGCCCAACCAAGCCAGCATAGTGGCCATGAAGGAAATTCGGATTGTTGTTTTGGAGAATTCGCCCCTTCTTTCCTGTTCCGACATAGCGGGAGACCGAGCAAATGGTGAAGTCCCGCTTCATGATGGGGCCAAAGTCATACCCGACACTGGTGTCACCCGTCAGGTACGTAACAGGAACTGTGGCGCCGTGGCCGCCCTCGACCTTTTTGGTGGCGCTACCCTTCGTCACGCGGCCTTGCCAGCTGCCCACCGAGCTTTTCCAAGCCGAGTCGGCGTCCTCGCTCTTGAACCAGGCCACCATGGAAGAGAGTCCAGCCGGTTGCGGTTGAAGGGGACCGAGCTTCGAGTTCAGGTACTCCATGCTGGTCAACATCTCGCCGTCCGAAAGCGCCCGGTTCCAAACGATGACCTCCATAACAGCAAAGTCCGATTTCTCTGACGTTGCTTCGTTGATTCTCAAGTGGACGTCTCCATCTGACTTCACCGCCGCTCCGTGTCCGATGTTCTTCATCTCCTGACCCCGGAAAACAGACCCTGCGGTGTTGCCACACAGCACAAGCCAGTCGGTGTGGGGCTTGCCCCACCCGTGCTGGTTCACCCATGTGTTGTAGTGCGCAACCCCCACGGCTCCGCCCCAGTGGCCGTGAAGCATGTTGGGCGGGCCCTGGAGAATTCGCTTGTTTGATCCTGGGAGATAGCGAGTGACCGAGCAAATGGTGAAGTCCGGCTTCATGATCTGGCCGAAGTCAATTCCTGCGTTGGTGTCGCCGGTGAGGTGCACAACGGGAAACGTAGCACCGTGGCCGGCCTCGACCTTTCTGGTGACGCTGCCCGTCGTCACACGAGCCTGCCAGCTGCCCACCGAACTTTTCCACTCGGAGCCGGCGTCCTCGCTCTTAAACCAGGCCACCATGGAAGACGGATCAGCTGGCTGGCGCTCCTCAAGCTCGTCCTGCCCTGGCCAGAAGTCCGTCATGGCTTCGATGGCCGTCTTCTTGGTCTCGACGGAGATCCATGGGATGGCGGCCAGGACGGCCGCAAACTGCAGTCCGAAGTCAGCCACCGGAATCCTCTTTGCAGGGCTCTGGAAAGGTCCCCAACCCATCTGGACACCCAACTCAAGGACGTTGCCGTCGAGGAGGCCCTGGATTTGGTAGTTGTTCATCCCCGTCACGACCTTGAAGTTGAAGAGCTCCACGACTTCCTCCTGGCCACGCTTCTTGGCCTCCTGCATCTTGCTCAAGCGGAGCATGGCGTCCTTCCCTCGCATCTCCCAGGTCCGGTTGGCCTCCATGGAGTCACCGTAGTCGATGGCAGCCAGGTAGACCTCCTCAGGCTCGGTGTTCCAGTACCAGGAACCCGCCCTCTGCTCCCTCTGCTCACCCTGCTCACTCTGCTGGCTCTTGTTGCTGTCCAGAAGCGACATGGGCGCGAAGGCAGTCTTGCTCTCCCCTTTGGCGATGCCAAGAGGGCTTCGGAAGGTCTGGTAGCCAGTCCCGAGGTTCTTCTTCACAAAGTCCGTGTCTTTGCCGAAGCGCTTCGCAAGCCGCAAGGTCCGGCTAAAGAGGAGGTGGCCGTTGGTTTTGATCTCCGAACGCAGCACGGACAAATCAAGGCCACCGGGCATCTGGGTCGGCCAACACACGGTGGTGTCAACACTCAACCAATCTTTCGGCAGAATCTCGAAAGTGACGCCCACGATGGCGGCCACTACAGGCTGCAACGACATCTTAAATGCCACGTTCAGGCACTTCTCGATTCCCACCTCCCCGGCATAGAAGGAGTAGCCCTGCCACTTGTTCCAGTTCTCCTGGGGCACTTGCAATCACGCACATGCACAAGCGAAGTTCCGCTCAATCGCTCTCACTCACTCCACCAACCTAAAAAGCTGCACACCTCTTAAGTCTTGTGTGAAAGCAGGTGCGACGGCTTGTGTTGATTCTGATTCGCAGACATGCAGACAACACCCCCGCTCTCCTTCATCCAGGTGTTGTCGCAAGGCACGGCCCAGGGCTCCAGGGGGACGAAGTCCTCCTTCCTTGCCGAGGTCCAGTCCCCTTTCGTCGCCTCCTGGTGGTTGCCAGCCTGTGCCCCGTTCTTGTTCCGGGGTGCGAAGGCCAGGCAGGAGCCCGAGTTCGCCTCCCTGCCGTCGAACTGGGTGATCAGATTCGTGACCTTGGCGTCTTCACCATTCTGAAACTTGGGCGTAATCGCCTCCTCCTGGTGCTGCCCCGAAGCCGAGATCAGCTGCAGCAGCGTTGGATGCATCTTTTGCGAGTGCATCTCCACGAAGAGGTTGCCCTGCTCGTGGCGCACCGGCATCTTTCCGACGGAAGGGAACTCGGAGACGCTGGCCTTCTGGATGAGGGAGACACCGCCTTGCAAAGCCTTCATTGCTAGGGACGTGCCGACCTTCGCAAAGGTCTCGAGGTACACGCCGATCGTCTCACCCAGCTTGCTCAGGTAGCTCAAAGGAGGCACCTTCTCCATGATCTTGAAGCCTAGGCATGTCGTGACTTCATGGCCGGACTCGAAATTCTGGCAGTTCTGCAGGTCATTCCCCATGGTCACTAAGCTTTGGATAGAGTTGACCGGTGAGCCTGCAAGAAGACCGACTGGACTGGGCATGTGGCTTAGTGGCGGTTCGAACTGCATGACGTAGCCCGCCACTCTCTTGGCCATGCAGTGGAAAATGTTGCCTCTGTCGCAGTGGGGAGTGTTCAGAAGATCGTGAATCATAGCGAAGATCCTGTCCACCCCCTCCTGGCCCGCGTTGACGACGGCGTGCAGCTGCTGGGGCAGGAAGTTCAGTGGCGGCTCGAACTGCATTACGAAGCCCGCCACTCTTTTGGCCATGCAGTGGAAGATGTTGCCTCTGTCGCAATGGGCTGTGTTCAGAAGGTCACGGATCATAGCGAAGAGCCTGTCGACACCCTCCTGGCCGGCATTGACGACGGCGTGCAGCTGCTGGGGCAGGAAGTTCAGTGGCGGCTCGAACTGCATTACGTAGCCCGCTACTCTTTTGGCCATGCAGTGGAAGACGTTGTTTCTGTCGCAATGGGCCGTGTTCAGAAGGTCACGGATCATAGCGAAGAGCCTGTCGACACCCTCCTGGCCGGCATTGACGACGGCGTGCAGCTGCTGGGGCAGGAAGTTCAGTGGCGGCTCGAACTGCATTACGTAGCCCGCCACTCTTTTGGCCATGCAGTGGAAGACGTTGTTTCTGTCGCAATGGGCCGTGTTCAGAAGGTCACGGATCATAGCGAAGAGCCTGTCGACACCCTCCTGGCCGGCATTGACGACGGTGTGCAGCTGATGGGGCAGCCAGTTCATGGGGGGCGCGAACTCCTGGACGTAGTTTGCCACGAGTTTGGCCATGCAATGGAAGACGTTGTTTCGGTCGCAGTTGGCGGTGTTCAAGAGAACGTGGATCATCTGGAACAACCTGTTGACCGCATCCTCAGTATGGTCGGCAACGCGTTTGACCTGGTTTGGAAGCCAGTTCAATGGCGGCTCGAACTGCATGACGTAGTTTGCTACACGTCTGGCCATGCAGTGGAATACGTCATCTCTGTTGCAGTGGTCGCTGTGCACCAAAGCATGGCCCATGTTAAACACCTTCTGAACAACATTAAGGTCTTGACTCGCAACTGTGAGGATATTCTCACCCAGGTAGGCCAGCTGGTTGGGCAGCATCACGTGTCTTTCTGGCCATTGGGTGTTGAAGAGCGTTATGGTCTTGCCGACAAGTGTTACACTGCAGTACAATCTGCCAAAGTTGATGCGCAACTGTTGGCCGTGGAAGTATGCATTGGGGGTGTGGGTCAAGCAATAGGAACCAAACGAAAAGCCGAAGTTCGTCAGAATGTGGAGTGCCTTCTCCACGGTGTCGATCACCGTATTCTGAATGAACTGAATCGCCTGAGTATCGCCCAATTCCTTGACCTGATCGAATGCCGAGTTGAAAGCATCACCAGTCAGACCATCGCCATCAAGGGTCTCGACTGCTGTGTTGATCGCACTGCTGGATACACTGCTCACGTCATCCACCCTATCTTCCACCCAACCCCCCACAGACCCCCACTTGCGCGAAGCACTTCGCGAGCTTTCCTGCTTGGAGTTCCGGACCTTCAGGCTGACGCGGGCTGTTTAGGGCACCGAGGGGTCTCCTTGTAGGGGTTGAGGGTCTAAGGTTCAGGGTTACAAGCCTTGCATTCTGGAGAATCTTACCTGGTGCCCAGGCGAATTTCTCGTCACAATCTTTCAGTCCGACCGAACACTGAGGTTCACTCTTACGCATGAGCCGCCTGCAACCCACAGCAGGTGTCATGGTTCCGCCCACATAAACAGGAGCACATCACGAGCATCTCCTAACCCTTGCCTCACGTTGGAGAAGGCGCTCTGCCCGTGCTGGTGGAGCCTGCGAGTCATCCTCGGTCGTCAGGTCCTGAGCCATGACAGCTCGTAGGCTTACATGGGTTTGAGGTCTAGGAGTCTAGGACTTGAGCTTTCCTTGTGGGCATCAGGATCGTAGTTGCGCGTCTCGCGCTGGCGGTGATGCTTGTCCAGTACCTTTTTGAGAACGTCCCCTGCTGCATGGGGATCCCGAGTTTTCTTCAGCGCCATGGCGACGTGCCGGACGTCTAGTCCTTAGAGGGATCCACATCAAGCTTCACAGGCGGAGGCAAACAGCAGCACATGCCGAAGGAGCCGCCAAGCAACCAACGTGCTTTTTCAGCGCCCCAATCTCGCGATGCGCTGCGACTAGCTCGGTTTGCTGCAGCTGCACCACCGTCTCCAATTGCGCTATCTGCGGAACAGGGCTCAAGGTATTGTCTACACATGGCTCTCTTTAAAAAAAGGGCACCTTGATCATCATGAACTCCAGGTTGCGGGCCAGATCACCGAAGCCATCCGTGGCATTGCCCGTGGCATTGCCATCCGTGGCATTGCCTTCCTGGCAGAGGCGTCATGTAAGGAAGAGTCTGCAACTGAGCAAAAACTCATTTTTGTTTAGCTTTTGGGGTCGACAACTCACTCTCTCAGAAACTTCTTGGAGGGCCTCCTTCGGCAAGGGCACTGAGTTTGCTTCACCCGCATCATGTTTTAAGTTCTTCTCCAGCAACTTCTCCACCTAAGACGTCAGGACATTGACGCAATGTGAAACTTAGACTCCCTGGGCCACAGTTCTGAATTCCCTCAGCCCCCAGCGGCGGCTGCTACTGCCGGGTCTTTTGAATTGGTGAGATTGATCGGCGTCTCGGACAGCTTGAATGAATGGACGACGGATCCAGAGAACCATCCAAGTGGCCCCACCAGCCAAGAAATCACCAGAAATCGGGCTGCCTTGCTCGGATGCAATCCTAGACATGACTCAGCCAAACAAGCATCTGACCTTGAAACCTGCCTCCGGACAACCTCCACAAAATAGAGATCTTCGGTGAAACTCATGACTGACCTATATAGTGGGTCAGCATGGCGGATTGCATTTTCCACTCGAGCTGGATTTCTTGTGCGATCCCAGTCACAGGAATCATGCCGGAGCAAAAAGGTTGCCCCACCAAGTATGCTTCATTTATTGGTATGCAAAGCTGGAAAATGGCGGCATCCATGCATTGGTAAAGGCTGCCACCACATGCAAAAACAGACTTGACTCTGATCTCCAAGGAACCATGCTTGCGATGCAGCGCTGCGACGTGTGCAAAATTAGTCAAAAACCAACAAAAAAAACACGTGCAACCCAGAACCTCCAGAACCTCACTGGATTTCTAACATGACACATTTGGTTCAAGCTTCAATGCTGAAGAACAGCCCAGGCCCCGACTAGCCAAAGATCGGCTTCGTCGCAGTTTGTCTTGTTTGTAAACGAACTCCACATCAAAAAACTTCCCGGATGCTCGCACCACTCATGTGCGACTGAACAAAGAAACCCAGCTGCAACAATGTTGCTGCTGCTGCCCACCAGTACAAGGGGGAGAATCTGTCCAGACACACACACACACCAAAGCTCTTCAAGTTGAAGCCGAACGCGCAATCGGCATTTTTTTTCAGCCTCATGCAGAAACGAGCACTGTCAAACATGTCTGAAAAATGAAAAAATGGCTAGACTTGAATCTAAATGGAGTCCGAAACCTGCCAAAAGAAAACCAAACAACCATACAACTGAACCTAAACCCAACAACCAAGTGCCACCTTGGTATCTAAAGGATTTGTACAGATTTTCTTGTGAATTTGCATCAGACTGCTGCAGATTGCAGTAAAAGCCAAGTCACGCCAGAGAAAAAAAACATTCTGGCCGCAACAGGCAACGCGGCTCCTTCTACTTCAACAATGTCATCTCGCGACCCCCAAGAGCTGCTGACTGCAATTTCAAGAAGTCAGGCTCGACTTCCCAGACTGGGGCATGATGGCTGGTGTTAACCCTAAACCCTAAACCCTAAACCCTACAACCTAAACCCTAAACCCTAAACCCTAAACCCTAAACCCTAATTAAACCCTAACCCCTAACCCCTAAACCCTAAACCCTAAACCCTAACCCCTAAACCCTAAACCCTGAACCCTAAACCCTAAACCCTTAGGGTTTCAGGTGGCGAACTAGACATCCGGCAGCACGCTCCATGCGTGCCGCTGGCATGCGCAATCCGATCTCCAAGCATTCCAACCTCCCAATGCTGCCTCCCCAACGTCTTGTCTTCGAAGGGTTCGTGCAGCCAGTCCAAACTGATGATGTCCACGCCATCTCTTTCCACCAGGCAGAAGGTGGCTTTCACAAACAACCGACCACGTCAAGCTTGCAAAACTGCTTCTGCCAGTCTCACGAAGCTTTCCGTACCAGAAAACCGTGCTACAACCCGCCAAAACTCAAGCTAGACCCGAGGAATGCGAGGGACGATGCCCGAAAAGCTACACGAATTAAGGCCAAGAATAACGCTGGAATCAGGCATAATGTTTTGGATGATTGAACGGGACTGTACCCATTGCTTCGCTTGCACGAGCTGCTCAACTTCCTCTTTGTTGTTCCGCTTTTACTGTGTTGCCCTTCAGAACTTGCATAGCACCACAAACACCGTGTTGAAATTCTCCTTGCCGCAGTCTGGTGTCCAATTGATGTTTTTGCATGGAGGTTATCATCACGCGGACATGGATGCTCTGGCCACGCGGACGCAGTGGTCACACACACACACACACAAACGTTACCATCGTGCGGACATGGATGCCCTGGTAACACGGACGTTGTCATCGTGCGGACATGGATGCTCTGGCCATTCGCTCGCAACGAAGCCACGAAGTGTTGTAAATACCGATGTTTCAGTTCAGCATCCCCAAACCCAAACTGGCAAGGCGTACATGGCAACTACATGGAAAAACAAGAAAAAGGGCAGGCGGAGTGGAGCATGGAATATGCGCAAAACCTAGGTTTAACTGTAGGAAGCCTGGAAAAGTGCACCGTCGCGAATGGTACGATAGCTTAGTAGTAGTAGTAGCAGCAGTAGTAGTAGTAGTAGTAGTAGTAGTAGTAGTAGTAGTAGTACTAGTAGTAAAGTAGTAGTAGTAGTAGAGTAGGAGTAGGAGTAGTAGTAGTAGTAGTAGTAGTAGTAGTAGTAGTAGTAGTAGTAGTAGTAGTAGTAGTAGTAGTAGTAGTAGTAGTAGTAGTAGTAGTAGTAGTAGTAGTAGTTAGTAGTAGTAGTAGTAGTAGTTAGTAGTAGTAGTAGTAAGTAGTAGTAGTAGTAGTAGTAGTAGTAGTAGTAGTAGTAGTAGTAGTAGTAGTAGTAGTAGTAGTAGTAGTAGTAGTAGTAATAGTAGGTAGTAGTAGTAGTAGTAGTAGTAGTAGTAGTAGTAGTAGTAGTAGTAGTAGTAGTAGTAGTAGTAGTTATCGTCGTAGTAGTAGTAGTAGTAGTAGTAGTAGTAGTAGTAGTAGTAGTAGTAGTAGTAGTAAAGTAGTAGCAGTAGTAATACGGTGCAACCCTATGGTTTGCCCGCGCTTGTTTTTGGAAGGTACATAAAACATGCGCAGGCGCAGCGTTTCTGGCCTTTGCCGGCCTTTCAACAGTGTTTTGTTTTTCGTTTTTTTTCTTCATAAACGACGACCCTCTGCGGGTTTCCCTGCGTTCCGGACTTCGCAGAACCCTATGGTTTGCCCGCACGCGCGTCTTACGGTTTGGGGTTTGGAGCGTTTCAGGCACGAGTCCAGCACGAGGGCTTCGGTGTTTTGTCGTCCTGGGCTTCAAGGAAATAACACTGCTTTCGGGCGTGGGTTCAGGGTTGAGGCGTAAGACAGTTTACGGTTTGCCCGCGTCTTCTGCTTGTGGGCAACGAACAGCCAAAGCCTAAACCTTAAACTCCAGAAGTTCTTGGTCCTATTTCATAGCTCAGGATTTCGCAGACGACTCGTCTTGTGGCCACTGCACTACTGACGCAGTCCCGTGCTTGTTGGGTCGCGCGGCCACAGGTCCGCGGTCTGCAGAGGCGGACACGGCCCTGGCATACGGGAAGCGGGGCGCAGACGCTGGCCACCTGCTTCGGAGGCAGAAAGAAAGCCTCCTCAGCGAGCTGCCCAGCGTCTGCGCCCCGCTTCCCGTATGCCAGGGCCGTGTCCGTCTCTGCAGACCGCGGACCTGTGGCCGCGCGACCCAACAAGCACGGGACTGCGTCAGTAGTGTAGTGGCCACAAGACGAGTCGTCTGCGAAATCCTGAGCTATTAAATAGGACCAAGAACTTCTGGAGTTTAAGGTTTAGGCTTTGGGCTGTTGGGTGCCACATGGTTCATGCTGACATGCTGCGGCAAGAGCTGATTCAAGCGTGCTTGTCCAAACCCATGCTTGACCACTGTGTGTGGGCAAACCACCCGGTTGGGGCGTAGTCGTAGTAGTAGTAGTAGTAGTAGTAGTAGTAGTAGTAGTAGTAGTAGTAGTAGTAGTAGTAGTAGTAGTAGTAGTAGTAGTAGTAGTAGTAATAGTAGTAGTAGTAGTAGTAGTAGTAGTAGTAGTAGTAGTAGTAGTACTAGTAGTAGGAGTAGTAGTAGTAGTAGTAGCAGTAGTACTACTAGTAGTAGTAGTAGTAGTAGTAGTAGTAGTAGTAGTAGTAGTAGTAGTCGTCGTCGTCGTCGTAGTCGTAGTCGTAGTCGTACTCGTAGTCGTCGTAGTCGTCGTAGTCGTAGAAGTAACAGTAGCAGTAGTAGCAGTAGTAGCAGTAGTAGCATATGTAGTAGCAGTAGAAGTAGAAGTAGTAGTAGTAGTAGTAGTAGTAGTAGTAGTAGTAGTAGTAGTAGTAGTAGTAGTAGTAGTAGTAGTAGTAGCAGTAGTAATAGTAGTAGTAGTAGTAGTAGTAGTAGTAGTAGTGTAGTAGTAGTAGTAGTAGCAGTAGCAGTAGTATAAGTAGTAGAAGTAATAGTAGTAGTAGTAGTAGTAGTAGTAGTAGTAGTAGTAGTAGTAGTAGTAGTAGTAGTAGTAGTAGTAGTAGTAGTAGTAGTCGTAGTGTAGTAGTAGTAGTAGTAGTAGTAGTAGTAGTAGTAGTAGTAGTAGTAGTAGTAGTAGTAGTAGTAGTAGTAGTAGTAGTAGTAGTAGCAGTAGTAGTTTCTTTTCAACGCGAAAGCTGCAGTATGGCAGCCGTCAGCACCGACATGCTTCAGAGCAGAAAGGGAAAGCGAAAAACAAGCAGCTAAAAAATAGAAACAGGGCTTGTTAAGGAGGTTGCCATTGCTTCCTGTACGATCTGTTTTGTCTGGCGGTGTCCAAATGAACAATTGAGGCGCTACCGTGCGCCGAAAGAATTTCGCCGCCCAATGGACTCGCAGTCGACCTGATCTATTTTGGCCATGGCCACACCGGTAAGCATGTGTTGAAGACCACTTGGCTTTCTAGTGTCTCCTTTTTTGAAAACATAGCTGGAGCAAAGACTAGGCAGAAGATCACACCGCCAATCAACACGAAACAAACCAAACAACGACAAAACAAACACGGCCCTGGTATACGTTTGCACAACAAGAATGACTCACGAGAACAGCAGGTCCATGGACAAGTGGCACCGAGCAGGCTCGACACATGGGCTCGTGATGTGCAGAACACGCAGTGGATCGAAACGGTGCAGATGGGCGAAGGCATGCAGGCAGACTCGTCTCCACGGGAGTGCCATCACTGCGTTTCAACACCGTGTAACTGTAAATTCTTGAGCGTCAAATTCGCCAATGCGTGGCCGGAAAAGTGGAGCACGGCAAGGTCGCTTGCAGACGGATACCGTCGCTGCTGCAGAAAGAATTATAAGTGTGGACTAGCAGCCACTGAGAAACTGTTTGTGCGGGTGCCCGTCCCGACTGCATTTCCAGCAAAGCCGCCCAGCCAGCCGTGTGCGCATTCTCCCACGCGATACGGCCGAACAGGGCACCTGGGAAGGCGACCGGGGTGATGTATCCAGCAAGGGTCCTTCACGCCATTGGGAAAAGCGGCGCTTTGAA